AAATAGCTGATATTAATTTCGATGTAATTCTTAAAGTTAGATGTATCGATATCGTTAAAACACTCGGGTTTACTTACTAAGAGTTAATATATCTTTTGACGTTTACTTATTACGGGCGATCTGTCTAGTTAGATGTACCATAACAGAGTAGATTTTTCATTTTATTCTGCATACCTTCATGTGTTCGCGTCATGCCTTGGATTTCTTTTGTTATGGACAGCATTATTGCCACATATAAAATATTGGTATAATTATATTATACCTCCAATGCCCTACTAATATTACTACTTATATGTGAAAGTTTGTATGTCTGTTACTCAATCACACAAAAACTACTGAACGAGTCCTTTAATAATTTTTATCCAGGAATAATGATAGGTTCCAGTGGGATACCCCAAATAACTAAAGACTGCTTCATAAATAAAAGACAAAATCTTTTTTTTTCGTGTTGTTGTACACTAACGAGAAAAATTGAGGTTTTCGATCATCAGTTTTCAAATTACTGAACCAAAGGTTATTTTTTTTAAACATTAAAACCTACATCACAAAAATGCTAAGTTAATATTATCATGCCTGATGAATGATCTGTTTTGGGCATAGACGTGGTTTTGAGTGTTTAAAATTGCGAAATTAATATAAAAAATCTATGGTTAGATTAGTTGATAGACGGCCAGAACCACGATCAATGGCCACAACGACCATATTTAAAAAAAAAACAGTAGAAGCAGGAGCCCCCTAAAACTATCATAGTTTTCGTAATTGTAAATTATGTTTCTATGTCCATTTTGGTGCAAATTAACCTAATATACTTAAAATTAAATGGTAGAATTTAAACACTGTTTATTTGTTATAATTCTTATTATTTTTAAAGCGTGTAACTACTTGATGTTTAAATCTAAAGAAAATATAACTAGAAAAAAATCCACGAGGACCAGGCAGCAGACGGGACTCGAACCCGAAATTTGACATTGTGGGTTACCTGTAATGCGAAGAGATGGCGCTGCCTTGCAGCTTAAGAATGGCTAGAAGAATTTCGACGCGGTCCGTGAGGGCAGCGGTAGCATAATTGGTCAGTGCATTCGCCCGGATTGCGAAGGGTGCGGGTTCGAGTCCCGTCTGCTGCCTGGTCCGCGTGGAATTTTTTCTAGTTATATTTTCTTTAGACTGTTTATTTGTATTGAAATGAAAACAATAAAATCATAACCCTTAGTAAGAGTGCGAGCTCAAGAAAACTATCGTAGTTTTCGTAATTATAAAACTCGTACTAAGGGTACTGGAAACCCTGGTTGCAGCCAACTTACGTATAGTTTGCTAAGAACGGGCGCGCACTAGATCTGCGATGGAGTGTCATACAGTACGTGAGTGAGCACGCTTTGTTCATCTAGGGTCATAATACAGAGTTAATTATTGATGAATGTAAGAAACGTCCAGCTATATGGCCGCTTTACAGCCAGACGTGGTCGTGCCCATAAACTCGGATGCAGCCCAACCAATATTTTTTCATCATAAACTCAGATAGGTCATTTTCTACGTGCTTACGAGTTTTTGTTTACTACCGGTTGACGTCATAGCATAAATAATCTATAGACTAAAATGGCCGACTGCGTTTTTGTATGTCCATGAAAAGTCGAAAAGGTTTTTTTAAGAATATATTATTTCAAGTACAAAGTTCTATCATTCATTTCAACGAATCCCAATTCGACCAGTACTTTTGCTGACCCTTGGTCTCAAACACAACCATAGCTTCTGCGGATACAGCCACGATTGGCTGTAGTCATGGCCGTCTATAGTTCGAGGTGCGAAAGTGGTCTGTTTTATAAACGCATTAGAGCATTTAGGAATTTCGTGGTAGTTAATTTATTTAACATTTCAATAATATGTACTGCCATTTTAGGATTTGAAAAACGGAACGGAACGGAAGATCGTATTCTTGAATAATAGTAATAAATAATGATAAATATTTCCAACACTCACACCAATTAGCCTAGCCCCAAAGTTAGTACTGTAAGGCTTGTGTTATTGGGTTGCTAGGGTAACGGATAAAATACATATACTGTACATATATAAGTATATTTATATAGAAATACATCTTAAACACCCATGACTGGAGTACAAATGGTCGTATTCATCACACAAACATCTGCCCCCACCAGGATTCGAACCCGGGACCTCTCGAGTCGGCGACACCATGAAACCCGGCGTATAAACCACTCGGCCACGGAGGTCGTCACGAATCGTGTTATCTCGCTACTTCTGATCCACCTAATAGATAATAAAATGTTTTTTTACGTCGGTTTGTCGTCGTCAGGAAATGCAGTACTGATGAAGCGCAAATATCGTTCCTGCCTTGCCTCTTGGCTTCGTATTACTTTATATCCTGGCCGGGAATAACTTCCCGGGACCGTTAACACAGTTTGCATTACATGATTTTGTCAGGGTTCCGTATTTCAAGAAAAAAATGACTCATTTATAATATTATAGTAATATAAGTTATTTACGGGATTGTTACCATGTACCTTGTTTTTAGCGAGTTTCCGATAGTAATACTGTTGCAAGGTACATGGTAACAATCCCGTAAATAACTTATATTACTATAATGTTAATGACCATGAAAGTTTAAAACAATATATCATTTATAATACTTATAGGGTCACTATAACTACTGAGGCTGTTTTTCGGAAGGACAATAAAACACAGAAAAGTATAAACAAAAGGCGGCCTTAATGCTTAGGTAGCAATCTCGACCAGGCAACCATTGGCTAAACCAAAATATATAAAAACAGCCCTTGCTGTGTCTCTTGTCGTTTCTTCTCAGTACAAGGTCTCCCGCCGTAGGTTCTAGTCATTTAATAAGTCGCTAGTAAATTAATAAAGCGAAAACCACAGTAAAGTTATCGTCTACCAAATTTTCACTATAAATTAGAATTTTTAGAAAATTTAGTAGTATTTTGTATGCTCTTCCAAGGGCGAAACATATGGAACTATTATATGTTATTTACCAGCTGTACCAAACTATGTTTCATGCAAATAAACTTTCATTTCATTTCACAGAACACAGAAGGAGGTTAGAAGGGTGATTATGGACCCCGTTGATAGATAATAACTAAACAAACGACGCGACATCAAACAATCTAACCAATCAGCGCTTCCAACAGAGATCAACGACGCAGTGAGAACCAAGGTTTGGTCAAGTTATGAGCATTTGCTCACACATAACTGTGGCGCGCCTGCCCCGCCCACAACTAATCCCTTCTAACCACATTCTGTGTTCTGTGTATTAACCTATTTTAATTTGATTGAAAAACTTACAGAGGACTACTAAATTTAGCAGTTATTCATAATTAATAATGAGAGGAGCTCGATGGCGCGGGTGGTTAGTGCATTCGGCTGCGATCGTTGAAGTTAAGCAACTTTCGCAGTGGTCGGTCATTGGATGGGTGACCAAAAATCTTCTATCTCGAGTTCCTCCGTGCTTCGGAAGGCACGTTAAGCCGTTGGTCCTTGCTGCATCTGCAGTCGTTAGCACCCACCAATCCGCACTGGGCCCGCGTGGTGTGTCATGGCCCAATCTCCTTATTCCATCCATAGGGAAGGCCTGTGCCCCAACAGTGGGGACATTAATAGGCTGATGATGATTATGATGAATAATGACGTCATGTCATTCAACTAGCCTATAAAAGCATCCTAGGTAAGTGACGCAATCTGAAATCGACTCTGACTGCAAGGAATTTTTCCCACGGTACTCCATAATTACGGTAATTGTTATTAAGGCTTAGTTGAGGTTGCACCCTTCCGACCTCGTAAGTGAAGGGAAGTTAAACAGAGGAACCGGGTACCAACCGACTAGGTATAACTTTAATAACTTCGGTATTGGCAGCTTAATTGGGTTGTAACTGCTTAGATGTTTTACACTCAAAATCCAGAAGTGAATATGGACAGGCAATTAATTAAACATTGAAAATAATTATTATAATACATAAATTTAACGTTGTGAGGTTTACAATAATAGGGGTGATGACGGGGTACAGTAAATGAAATTCTATTTAGTCCGTCAGTTAGATGATCAAAAAATAATGGACACGTATTTTTTCTTTGGGCAATCAACCAAAAAATGACAAAGTTATAGCGCATCAAAGTTTGGGAGTAGGGGCTCGTGACGTCACTTTTGAGTAAATTTTCATTTATAAGTGTACTCAAACGTGACGTCATGCGAAATTTCAAATCAATATATCTCTGCAATGTTTATATTATGTGAAAAAAGAAAAAATACATGTCCAATACTTTTTGATAATCTACCTGATAAACGAAGAAAAAAAAATAGTCATCATCCCTATTATAATGCTGATTGATAAATGTATTCGCGTTTTTCGTTAAGAATCTTATCTTTTTCAGTAAGTTTGAGAAATGTTATAGCCATTGTCTCATTATCAAAGAAATAAATCACGATAGATATGATCATTTTAAAAAAATCTTTACAATTACGTTAACTCCCCGTCTTCCACATTATTTGCCCTGGTACTTCTTACAGGCCGGTGTAATAAATCTATCGTGAAATAAGCCATATTTACTATATTTTTATCGTTCATAATATTATTTAACTAATAAATCAACAGGCGATGAGTTCGTGCTTCTTAGATAGAAATCCTATTATTTACAAAAATATGTCATTCTCACGACAAAAGCCGAGTGACCAGGTGTTCGTACATTCAGAGCTTTCGTTGCAGACATTACCCTGAAACCAATCAACATTTAAATTTGACACACGCCGACCTATCGGCTTGCTTCACGAATTTAAACCTAAACCGGACTGTTAAAAGTTCAAAACGATTCAGAGTTAGATATTCGAAGAGAACATTAAATATCCATTTTTTCATAATCCCGAACAACGAGTCGAGTTTTTAATAATGGCAGTTCGGTTTATCTTTGGTCACCTGCAAATTTTATCATTGCTTTATTTCGTTATCAAATAGATCAGTGAAAATTCAAACTACGTATAAATTGTTTACTTATATATTATTCAACTGAATGGAGTAGGAACTTAACGCTTATTATAGAATGAATTTAGATGCTATCCTATTCCAATCTGGTAGATCAATCAGTTGGTCTTCAAGGCAGTTTTCTGCACCATCTGTCGCCATCATACACAGACCATCAATGATTTTTTCCATCAACATATCTTCCTGAAGTATGAACCATTCCGAATCTATCATCACGTGTTTTTCAAATTCCTGCCACACCTCAAGCTTTACTTCCTTTATATAATCCAACACACATTTCTTGTTGCATTTATTGCTATGCAAATTTACTTTGCTTACAATACTAAAAAAGTTATCGCACAAAAGGTTTAATTCTTCAACGTCATCGGGATATCTTAAAACGTGGTGCCCCAGAGCCCTTATGATTTCGTCTGTTCGTGAAGTTTTACCTTGTGCCATAGTCAACTTTATCAAATCATGTAATTCTCCACGGTGCGCATTAGGATTGTGAGGGATACCGTTTTCTGTCAGCCAATCACTCATCTCAACTTTGGAGCTCGCCAGAGTTGGTGTATCAATACGCTCCTCTTGCATTACCACGACACATGGTTCGCTTATATGAGATAGTAAATTTAGGAGCCACTTGCTCGTCTGTGAGTCGTCATGATAAAAGCGTGCCTCCAGTACACCTAATTGCATCGATACAGCTACGAAAAGGTGATCCTCCGTCACAGATTTTTGACCTGTCGCCGTGGGTTTGTTTTTGTTTATTTTGTTTATGAAATTCTTTATCGTATTAACGTATATTATGTGCCAATTTTCTTGTCTGACTTCTGCTATCCTCTTCAAAAACAGCGTTCTCCGAAAGACGCGTACAGGATCTTCGACGATAATCCCCTTCTTAGTGCCTGCTAAGCTCAACAAATTGAATGGCTTCTTTTGATTTGAACAAAGGTCGTTTGTATTTTCGCTTTCATGAATCTTAAAATCTGCTAGCTTCGGTATATTTCGGTCTATCAAATAGATCTTTTTTAGTATTCTACGGAATTCACTTGCTGATAGGTTGTTCTGGATGAGCGGATGATGATCCCTGTAATGCATTAGTTGGGAGTATGTCAGCGGTTGGCGTTTCTCTTTACCTTTTCTGAACGAAGATGGGTATCCAGTATACCAGTCAAAAACTAAATCTGTACTCGTGCTTGTAAATACATCTTCAGGTGCTACATCGCATCTCTGTAAAAGTGATTTCACTAATAATATTTTATTTGTGATTATCTCTTCTCTTCGTTTATTCATGCTTTCGTTTTCTTCTCTTATCTGGAACAAAAAACAGTTAAATATTTTTTGATTGTATAGTCCTCATTATTATATAAGTGAAAAGAAACCTTTTTGAGCAATTTTTGCACAAGAAGGAGTTAGACATTTTAGGTTATATGAAGATGGAATACAGATAGCTATTTTTTTTAAACAATATTGTATTAAAAATACTTAAATTATATATTTATTAATAAAAATACACGTTATCCTGCGTTTGATACACCCACTTATAATGATCATAAAAGAAATACCTTTGAAAGACAGATCTTCAATAATGCTTAAAATGAAAAAGGTCGCGTTTGGGTCAATATGCAAACAACTCGTTAGTACTTATGTATAATAGTAGATTATTTACCAAGGGGATAAAACAGTGTATTATGTCACGGGCAACATATTGAACTCTGAGCGAATTATGGTAAGAATCCTGATGTTTTGAAGTCTGCCAAAGACTAAGACATTTTTATTTCCGAGAAGCATACTCTACACATTATACACTTATTGTGAAGAAAGAAAATTTTACAAAAAAAAACAATCCACGCTGTCAGGCAGCAGACGGGACTCGAACCGGCGCCCTCCGCTATCCAGGCGGATGCACTAACCAATTATGCTTCCGCGGCCTTAATGGCCGTGTAGAATTTCTTTTACTATTTCTTAGGATGCAAGGCAGCGCCAGTAAAACATTTCTAGAAAAATGCTCTTTACATTTTCTAAACATCTAGCAATAAAATGCTTAAATAATATAAATTCAATTAAAAGTAACTATAATTTACAACAGTAAAGTACATTTATGTATTTAAGAAATTTAAAATATGCATATAAACATCCATGACTCAGGTACAAACATTTGTTTGCCCCACCGGAAGTCGAACCCGGGCCCTAACCCTCTGAGTAGGCGACAACTTGAAACCCAGCGAACTTACCACTCACAACACGGAGGTCGACAAACAATTAATAAGTAGGTATGTATTACGAAAATATTGTTGTTTCATTAACATACACACATTTTATCATCAACTTTAAGTCTAATCGAATCATTTGTAAAAAAGGCTTTTAGTAATGGAATTTCGATGTAATCAAGAATGGAATGCAAATAACGAACGGAAATGAAATTGGCGCTAAAGGTTTTTGTTTATAAATTGAAAAATAATTTGCACTGACTTTAAATATATATTTAGTTACCTATGCCCGGACAAATTTGAAGTCATGGTGACCCTACATTTACTCTGCGACTTTTCTTGCATGCGATATAATAATAAGGATGAAACAAACACCTCTTAAACTAATTAAAAACTGTCGTTCTAACTTTTTTATTTTTTTAGTAAATCTTGGCTCGACTATTAAAAGAATTAGTATTACATTAATGTAATGTAAATAAAACTATAATTAAAATATTTTGCTGAAAAATCTGTAATGCTAATAGACAAACCTACATGTGGAATAAGTTTTACAATATTAAATTTAATAAAATTAGTGTTTAGTTAGCTTGTACGAAAATAATATGTGACTAATGAGCATAGTAAGGGCGGCCATCCGTTCGGATTTCCCTGGATTTGTTTTACTATAGAGGGTGTCTTGGGATGATGCAGGAGCAGTATTCAGTCAGTATTTTACTTGACACGCTACAAATTTGACGGACAACAATTATATTTATAATATATATAATTATGAATATTCTAGAACTTTAACCAAAATATCCCGGGATCCTCTGATGCCTGGACTGAGTGATTTTTTTCTAGTAATAATTTTCTTTCGATTTAGAAATCTAGCAGTTTAATCCTTAAAATAACAATGCAAATATCCGAGGATTAAAAAAAGTTTTGTCCGGCACCGGCCAATTCGACGATGGTCACCCTATGCATAGATCGTCCGATTCCGAAGCAAAAAACGTCCCCCCCCCCCCTTCCCCGCCCGCGTACGAGGACACTGTTATAAAACAAAATGGCGTTTAGGTAAGTGTAGCGAAATATTGCTAGCGTGTAACAAACGTTCAAGGTTTACTTACTTACATACCTTATGCTAAAACTTATTAACTAAAGCTATTTTAAAAATACAACTAGATATAAAACAGCACGCGTAAGCTGTCTGATTACCATAGACGTATAAGAATAGAGTGGGGAAGGCGGCTCTAAAAGTGTCCGTCTAGTAGAAAGAGAAAGAAGATCAGAGACGGCTAGCCTTTCTCTCTCAAATCGCGAATGCGCATTGGATGAAAAACTTACGAATGAATACTGACCAATCACACTACTGCGCGGCAATACCGACCAAACACACGACTACGCAGCGTCACAAGAGAGAGAGACAGCTAGCCGTGCCTCATCTTACTTCTCTTTCTACTAGACGGACACTTCCATTTGTAGTAGAGTACATATCTCCCCTACTCTATTCTTATACCTCTATGCCGATTACACTCAAAATATAGAAAACAAAATGGCGCATACCTTTTCGGCGTCGATAAATAGCAGTGTAGTCAGTCAGAGCGCCGAACAAGCGAACGTGTGGTACCCTGCGTTCTTACTGTGCCAAAGCGGGGCGCGCGGGGGGGACGCCGCCGGCTGGACACTGTTATAAAACAAAATGGCGTATAGGTGAGTGTAGTGAAATATTGCTAGCGTGTACAAACGTTCAACGTTATCATATATACCTTATACTAAAACCTAAAGCTATTTTGAAAATACTACTAGATATGAAACAGCACGCATAAGCTGTCCGATTACACTCAAAATATTACCTTTTCCGCAGTGTCAGTCAGAGCGCCGAACAAGCGAACGTGTGGTACCCTGCGTTGTTACTGTGCCACTGAGGGGAGTCGGGGCGCGCGGGGGGGAGGCCACCGGCTGGCGCGTCGCGTGATAGTAGTGGCGGGGCGCGGTGGAGCAGGGGAGGGGACACTAGAATCGTGCAAAGATTATAAATAGACAGATAGGTAATTCGTGCGCGAGTGAAATGAAAGTATTGTATTGTGTATTGTATACTTACATAATTATTAGATACGAATTTTATTCACAATTTAATATGTGTTGTATGAATGATTTGTTTGTTGGTCGAAATAGATCGATTTGAATTGACTAACGTAGATTTGTAATTGACTTATTAATGCGGTAAAAAAATAGTTTGAAAAATAAAACTGGATTTCGTTGTTTAGTTTAGACTGCAATTTAAATTAAATTAATGTTCGACGATAGAATGTGTGCTAGCAATTTTGTTTCATTTATTTAATCTTTCAATAAAGTTTCTGCAACTGTTTTAATTTAAATGCATAAGTAATTAGTACCGCAAAACTACATTAAATATCTGTATATAATTTCTGAAATGTAATAAAAAATATAATATGTAATAAATATGAAATGTGAAAGCTTTTATATTGGTTATTCAATCCCGTGAAAACAGATGCACGAATTCGGATGAAATTAGTGCACACATAAAAGTAGGTAGGATAATACCCGGATGGAGACACAGAGTACTTCTTATTCCGGAAAAAGCCTTATTCGCCACGGGATCCTTAAAAAGCGACGTAAATACTCTGGTATTTTTATCCCCGTTTAAGGTTTCCTAAGGTTAAAGGGTCATTTCACACCTAGGGTTACCATCCGTCCGGATTAGTCCGGACATGTCCGGTCTTTTTCCGGATATTTTAAATTATATCGAATATGAATAATAAAAGTACTTATTGATTTAAATACCATACCATTGCAACTAAGTGAGTAATGGCACCATTTGTGACTAAAAATTCCGGACTTTTTTCGAAATGTCAGGATTTTTATCAGGATTTTTGAAATTCCTAAATGGTAACCCTATTCACACCGGAATAGCAGCGGCCGGTAGCTACGCGGCGAGCACTTTCCCTAAGAAAGCGGTGTGAGATAATTTTAAATTTTATCTACATACTTATAAGGACCAGTATAACTTGAAATGGATCCGCGGTGTCGCGAGTGAGCGATATTGCTCGCGGCCGCGGAGCGGAGAATAGACTGCGCGGGCGATTCTGGCCTCTGTGTAGATAAAGTTTAAAATTATTTCAAAACGCTTTCAATGAGAAAGTAATCGCATTGCGTAGCTGCCGGTCGCGTATTCAAGTGTGAATTGAGCCTAAAGGCTTCTCCATACTCGCGCGAGCTTGAGTGAACAATAGCGAACAGTAAGTTTACACAGACAGACAGATAAAAACTTACATCCGTGGCTGCCCTTACCCTTCGATCTTAAATTTGATTGCAATAAAACTGCTTTGGTCATATTTAAGATTTCAGGCCTTCGATAAATTTCATTTTACTGAATACATAATTCTAAACAGTGGAACGCTTTCAAGTTTTTACTAAATTGACTAAATTCCCATTATCAAAATCTAATTTGGCTAATTTTATTTTTTATGAATTTTATTCTTAATTTTGTTATTTAAAATTTTTAGCTTATCCAATATTTATTTGTAAATAAATATTAGAGCTACTTGTCTACGGTAATGTAACGCTTAGATGCTCTTAGATGTGTCTGCAGATCAAAGTTTAGGAACAAAGCGCGTTATGAAGTTAACGTATAACAGAACGCGCTTATCCTAACCTAGCTCAAAACTAAGTAGGTACACACTTGTTACTTAATCATTGCTTAATCATTACATGTGACAGTTAGCTAACTTTATTTTAACAGGCACAACTATCAATACCCAAAAGGCCAAAAGTCAAATTTGCTTCCAGTTTCATATTCAATTTGTACAATAAACTAGTCACCCCTTGTCACACGAGTTGAGTAATAGTAATTGGAGCAAGTCTCCGATAAATTGGTGTTGATTGGTGATAAGCTCGGTGGCGCAGCGGTTAGCGCGCTCGGTCTGCGATCGTGGAAGTTAAGCAACTTTCGTAATGGTCGGTCGTTGGATGGGTGACCGAAATTTTATTAACGCGGTCGCTTATTCGATATCACCACACCGCAAACTAGGTCTGTTAAATAATAATTTGTGTATCTAAATCAGAAATGGGCAAACTTTTACCTTATCGTATTCGTATCGTACCAATATTTACTATTATAAATATATTCCACACGGACCAGGCAGCAGATGGGACTCGAACCCGCACCCTTCGCTATCCGGGCGAATGCACTGACCAATTATGCTACCGCGGCCCTGACGGCCACGTTGAAATTCTTCTAGCCATTCTTAGGCTGCAAGGCAACGCCATTTCTTCGCATTGTAGGTAACCCATATTATAAATTATGATGATGATATATTATAAATATAAATAAATTTAATTAGCCTAGCCCCAAAGTAAGCACTGTATAAGACTTGTGCTATGGGATGCTAGGGTAACGGATAGAATACATATACTGTACATATATAAGTATATTTTTATAGAAATACATCTTAAACATCCATGACACTGGAGTACAAATGCTCGTATTCATTACACAAACATCTGCCTCCACCGGGATTCGAATCCGAGAACTCTCGAGTCGGCGACACCATGAAACCTGACGTAATAACCACTCGGCCACGGAGGTCGTCAATATGCCGCAATTACATTCGGTCGTTAGCTCGTATTCCGGTGCAAGAAAGACATTACTCGAATTCGGGTACCCGAATCAATATCTACACTTCCAGTGTATTCGGGCTGGAAGACGGTGTAGGGTCAACAAAAGGAAATCTAAATCTAAAGAAAAGTTTTACTAGAAAAAAAAAATCCACGCGGACCAGGCAGCGGACTGGACTCGAACCCGCACCCTTCCTAATCCGAGCGAATGCACTGACCAATTATGCTACCACGGCCCTGATGGCCGCGTCGAAATTTTCCTAGCCTTAAGCTGCAAGGCAGCGCCATCTCTTGGCATTGTAGGTAACCCACATTTTTTTTCTAGTAAATCTTTTCTTTAGATTTAAACATCTAGCAGTTAAATGCTTAAAACAAAATAAAAACAAAAGGAAATCTATCTGAATACGGGCGTACTCGACTCCGTTCATTCGCACTTAGTCGTTTACTCGAATTCCATTGGCACTCGTATCGGGCTTTCGACCAAGTGTTATCGCGCCTTTAGAATCTATAGTTTAGGCCGTTCAAGTATTACGTAAGCAGATTTATTACAATTATTTACCCCCTCCTCCCCCTCGTCAGCAAAAGTAAGCAAAGCTCTTACCCCTCCCCCCCATCCTTACGTAAACATTGGTACCTATATACATTTTTCCTTTAATGTATTCTGTTTTTTTATTGATTCATGAGCTTCATGAGCAGCAGTACCTACTTAAAAAGGCTTAATCGATGATGCTGACGTAATCACCATCTCTACCCCCCCACCCCCTATGTCATCAAAAATAAGCAAAGCAAAGACCCCCCTGCCCCCCTATAGTGCTTACGTAATACTTGAACAGTTTCTTAGCGGGCTTAGTTTTTGCCCAGACCCAGACCCGTCTTTCCCAGTGGGCACTTTGGGCAAGTGCCCAGGGCCCCGCGATCGATAGGGGGCCCCCTCAGATCAAATACACAGTCCCTAATTCCTGTTAAATCACCAAAAGGAAGTCATAGAGGCCCCATTATCCTAATATGCCCAGGGCCTCCAATAGGTCAAAGACGGCACTGCCCGGACCACTTAAGATTTTTTTAATGCATATAGCCAGGTAGGCATATAACTCTACCCCACCTGATATTAAGTGGTGTTAAAGTCCAAACGCGAAGATAGCTGGTACAGCAGTTATAAACGGCTACACCAACCAGCCTCACCTCACTTGTCGGCCTGCAAAAATGCTTCTTCACGCCTCTCTTAAAGGACCCCAGATTGTAGGAAGGAGGGAACACGTGCGCGGGCAAAGAATTCCACTTACGAATAGTATGATAAAGAAATGAATCACCAAATTTATTTGTTCGCGTAGGAATAGTGGCCACAGCGCGTGTGGTCTTCTGAAGAAAAGTTGATGGAGGGATAAGGGAGAATAACTTCTACTACTAACATGGAGGAAATAAACACTCGCCTCTTCAAGAGATGGCGCTACCGGCGGCGCTGCGTTCACAACGTAAGAACTACATCCCGCAAGTGAAATTCGGCAGCCAACAGTTCATATATACGATGCCCGACCAACATCAGTAGGGCCGCAGCCCCCGAGCTAACATCACCCAGCTCGGAGGAAGATCTTCCCCTTTGGCCTTCCTACACACCCTTCTCCCTAGAATTCGTAAAACAAATTAAAATATAGCTCAGTGAATGCCCCTCACGCAGCTTGCAGCTCAGCAGCAGGATAAATACGAAACTGAGTGTGAATAGGTTAACCAGGTTTGGCACCGAGCGGTCTTTGTCAGAACTGATGTGAAAAAAATGGTACTTTTGGTGAATACCTTTGATTTTTAGTTATAATTAAATTTTTAAGATGTTAAAAACTAAAGAAAACAAATAAAGCGCTGCCTTGCAGCCTTAGAAATACTAGAAAAAACGCGACACGGCCCTTAGGGCAACGGCAGTATAATGGTCAGTGCATCTGCCCGGATTACGAAGGGTGCGAGTTCGAGTCCCGTCACCTGCCAGGTCACCGTGGATTTTTTCTGGTCAAATTTTCTTTACCTTTGATGGTCGCGGGTCGAATTTCAAGCGTGGGCCATAGTTTGCCCATCCCTGATCTAAATTAATGTTCATTTTCTACTTTTAGCTGATCGGGAGTCAAACCCGGACCCTCGATAATAGTAAACACTCAGTATTTTTGCTTTTGGGATTCACCCACATAAGTATTGCAGGGCATCAGCAGCAACCAACCAAAACAACCCAGCAGTAAATTGCAACTCAGATCTATGAATATGCATTGCACCGACTCCGAATGTCAATTTGACTTTTAA